CGTGTCAGAGGTTGAGGTAGCATGGACTCCTGTTAGCCCTAAACCGAGGTGGGGAAACCAATCAAGTCCCAAAAGTGTAGGGAGGTTGCCGCTCACTACCACTAGAGGTAGGTGGCCCTTAAAGGTTTTAAAATTAACAAAAAACTTGCCTCTGCCGATTACAGGAATGGTCTTCCCCTGGTAGTCCTTTAGGCTAAGCTGGCACTTCTGGAGTCGGTTTCTTGATAGGCTGGGTTGAAGCTCCTTGAGGGTGTTCCAGGAAATAATGGAGAGCGCTGACCCCGTGTCAACCTCCATGTTGCAAGGTTTACCTTCTAATAAGATGGAAAGAGAGATTTTACTAATAGAATAGCAAGTGTGATTAGCGCAGAGGTGTGTGCGACAGTTTAATACTTGCCTTTGGGGCCCGGCATGTGCGAATGAAGATGCCCTTTGTGCTACGTTGTGTGAGGCTTGGCATACTCTTGCAATGTGCCCCTTCTTATGGCAGTTGTTGCAAGTGGCTCCTTTGAATTTGCATGTGGTCCTCAGGTGAGGTCCACCACAGGAAAGGCACAGGGTGATGTGCTTGGATGGTCCGGTGTTATCTTGTCTGGTTCCTGCCTGCGGGCGCCTGGCGTTTGTGAGGCGGTGAATGTCGGCCTCGTCACTTGGGTCTTCCTCATTGACCACCTCTTCTGAGTGGACGGGAACTGCTGTTTGCTTGGTGACAGGACCTTGGATCTCGGTGGCTGAATGAGATGCCAGCTCCTCTGCCAGGGCTTCCTCGATGGCTTGAGCGAGGTTAAGGTCTTTTTTGGCGAGCAGCCGTCTTTGTAGATGCAGGTCCTTGACCCCGCAGACCAGCTGGTCTAGGAGCATGTCATCAAGATAGCTGCCAAACCCACAATGGAGTGCTGCAGTCCTGAGAGCAGCCATGTACTGATTGATGCTCTCTTTGTCCCCCTGCTTCCTCATTCTGAAGGTGAAGCGTCTGGCAATCTGTGAAGGTCTAGGAGAATAGTGGTTAGTAAGGATTTCTAACAGTTCTGTCCAGGGGACATTCTTTAACTCACGTGGAGCCACAAGAGCTGTGGCTGTATCGAAGACGATGGCTCCACAGTAGGTCAGGAAATATGCTTTCTTTCGGTGTTCCCCTGCATCAGCCAATCCAATGGCGTCGATGTAATAATTAAACCGATTCTTGTATGATTCCCACTTCTCCTCATCCGGCTTGAACGCTGGGAAGGCTGGATTGGAGTTCATGTTGTGGGTCTACTGGTTAACCTGTTGGGGAAAATGCTCTCTCTCTGGGTAGCAGTAGAGGTTTAGTGCCTGTGCTAGGCAAGTGCTCTCTCTCTCTGGGGTAGCAGTAGAGGTTTAGTGCCTGTGCTAGGCAAGTGACTTCAGCTCTGGGGAAATTTCGCACTTCCCTTCTCTCTCTCTGGGGATCAGAAGGTGTTTAGACTGCAACGGTCGTTGGCAGCGTCTTTTGAAATTCGCGCCTGTGTGGGCGTTAGCGATTTCGTAATACAACGCTGTGTTGTATTTGAATGTGCTTCAGCTGACAGCTGTTTGAATTTCGCGCCTAAACAGCACGAGCGGCTGCGGCTCGCAGCGTTACACTTCCTCTGTAGCTTATGCTAACAAGCGGCTACAGGCGCTTCTCACTTTCACTAGCTTGTTTGCTGATCGCTTTCTCTCTGGGTTGCGATCAGCGTTTGCCCTTATTTTGGCTGATCGCTCTCTCTCTGGGCTGCG